TTTCTAAACATATATCATTTAATAGTATTTTTATTTAGGTACTAATTTAATCTCTTTACTTAATTCAATTTCATATATTCATTATAATCTTTTCATATAGCTCCATTATACTAATTCTCATAATAAATCATACCACTAAGTACTTGTCCAACTCATGTTTCCATTATGCATATACTGTTACCCATGTTTACCTAGTTCATATCAATTCTTATAAACTCACTTTCATCATATTTTCCTATTATTACATATTTTATCTCATAACCATGTATCCACATAGTCTTATATTTCATTATCATATTACATATACTTGTTCTCCTATAACCCTTAATAAACATATATTCTATTTCCCTACATCTCTCGACTTATCTTCTATTCCTATAATTTCATACTTATTTTATATCATTTTCCCTTTTATTCACATCAACCATCTATTTATTTAGTTCAATTTCTCATGACTTCCACAATACTCTTTAATAAAACTTTGTAGCTCTTCACTATAATACATAAACCATAGTTTCCTTTAATTTATCAATCTTCCCTATATTAGTTATGTATCCTTATTTATGCCCTCGAATTCATACTATTCTCTTAGAGTCTCCTAATATTTCTCATATAATTACTTATACCATATCATATAACTTATACTTTATTATCTTATTCTCTCATATTCATTTCATTTCTTATGACTCTATCATATAACTTATCTCATGTTCTTCCATTATTACATATTAAAGTCTTACATACATCATATAGCATATACAAAGCATATCATTATCTTTAGTCATGCATACATACAATCAATGTAATACAGATAATCACATATAATTATAACCACACATAATCATGTCCATGACTTCATGCATATTACTCTAGGAAATAGACTCATCGCAAGTCTTATTTCCATTAAACACTACATATCACTAGTATGCACTCACCTGGGCCTCGTTGTTTGAATCAATCCTAATCCTTAGTTTGTTCCGGAACAAGCTTTCATTCTATATCTACATAATAATACATTAATACTTATCAGTATACTGATTGATATATTCGAAACTATCACTCCTTAGTCTCAAAGAAAAGCCAATTTCATCTTTTAATGAAGGTATGCATCGATGCACTACACCATGCATCGATGCATAAATCCTATTCAATGTTTGTATTTAATGGAGATGCATCGATGCACTCCTTATGCATCGATGCATAAATCCCATTCGATGTTTTCTATTTAAATTCATGCATCGATGCACTGCATGTGCATCGATGCACCTTAAACAATTTCTGGTATTTATCATCGATGCACATTGCCCAGAACTGACATTTTAGCACGTAAATCATTAACTCTTCCCTTAATTCTTCTATTTTAAGCCCCTCTTATGACATTAAACTCAACTACTATAACTTGAACCAACTTATATCCATGTAAATCATCTTTAACCTCAAAATCCTATCTTCTTTATGAGATTCAAGAATCATACCAAATTTTCTATATGATATAAATCCAATTCTATCACTCCAAATCTCTTAATTTAACCATTGACAAGTCAAATTTAACTTCCAATCTAAGAAATGAACTTTATTCCAAGATTTCATTTGTAAACTCTAAATCTTTAATCTCTCCTAACTCCACCATCCTTTGCTTTTAAGATGATTTAAGCTTTCCTTAAGCTTAGTTATCATCTAATAATTAAAACCTAACCTTAAAATCAACAATTCAATTATAAACAAAGAAACTTACCTTTGGCTCTTGGCTTCCAAGTGAAGAAGAAGAAGAAAGGAGAAGAGAACTCTGGAGAACTCTCTCCCTTTCCACGTGCCTTTATCCTTACCAATCCCATTTTTTTATTCATTTCTTGGTCAATTAACCCTTTTGCCCTTTATTTCCTTTACTAATTACTAAATAACCTTCATCATATATATCCAATAATCATTGAACTATTTCATTCTTATACTTTAGTCACCAAATTCTGAAACTTTACAATTTGGTCACTAACCCGGTATTGCGGATGTTACAAAACCTAGTTTTTACTCTAAAAACTTTTCCTTTTTTTCTTTTTCTTTTTCTTGTTGGGTGGTGTCACTAATTTTAATATTAATTGTCAGTTGTCGATGATTATTAGTTCATTTTTCATATTATGTCTTTTGTTTTTTTCTTGAGTTTTTTTAAATTTTGAATAAGAATCTGTCTTTCTGACACGTTTTTCTTTATCTATTATTGTGGCACAACATTTCTCTGTTCTTGTGACACGATCGTTGTGGCTTTTGGTATGTTTTTTGTATATCTTTGCAGTGGTTTTGGTGTTTACACAAAAACCATTACAATATTTATTTTCTGAATGGTTTATCGGTGGTCTTGTATGTCAGATTCCCTCTTTGGTAAAAGATTTTTTACCGATCGATATAATCAGAATTGTGTAGCGAAGCAGCCTGCTAGAAAATTTGGTTCGTTCACTACTCCTTTATCACTTCGTAAAGTGTCTCGTTCGACATAGACAAGGAGTTTTTATGAAGGTTACTGTGTTCTTTTGATGTTAGTCATCATTCTCAATGGAATATTTTATTTTTATTCATACCTTTATGTTTAATATTTTTATTTTTGTACAAGTTTTTGGTGACTGTTGTCTCCCATTGTCTCTTTATATCTGGGTGCGTTGATTCCTTCCATTATTTTTATGGGTTAAGTACATAAATGGTCCCATGACTATAGGGTTTTGCTTTATTAAGTCATTGACTATTAAAAGTTACAAAATGGTCTTTCGACCATAGAGTGTTTCTTTGTTAAGTCCCTCGACTATTAAAAGTTATAAAATAATCACCCGACTATTCATTATGTTCCAAACTCATCATTTTACATTAAAAATTGACGGTATTCTGACCTGAACGCTAACCTATTGATTGTGATATGATAAAACTTAATCCAAGAATCTTAAACGGCTATAATATATCAGTCACCATGTTAACTTCCAACTTAGACAACTGTCATTTTTAACAAGAAATGACGAATTTTGAACATAATGAATAGTTAGGTGATCATTTTGTAACTTTCAATTGTCGATGAACTTAATAAAGTAACATTCCATAGTTGAAGGACTATTTTATAATTTTTAATAGTTAAAGGAGTTAATAAAAAATACCTATAATCGGATACCATACGTATACTTTACCCTGTTTTTATTAATAAAATCAGGTTTTCATTCTAAATATTAAAATTACCTTAACTAATTGGGATTATATTAGAAGTAAATAATATTTTCCAAGGTGGAGTTCATGTTCCCGAGACAGCACGAGTATGTTGGTTTTGAGTATCCCTTTGAAACTTCATGTCTTCGTGTTGTTCTGTCATTTCCAGACATTTGCCTGTTTTCTGTAATACCGTCTCACAAAAGGCACCAACCCAAAAAAATTAATTTGAATAAAATATTGTTAATTAATTAATATTTTTTTTGGTTGTCCTCCAGTTTCAAGTATTCATCTTCACTAATCATTCGGGTCTCATATATGGTTTTGGTGAATGAGTTTATTAACGAAATTTTTTTACATACACAAAAATTCAAATCCGATACTTTACTTAAACGATAAAGATATTTACCACTTGAACCAACTCATAGGTAATTATTATTTTTTCTTTTAATTTGCTTTGATAGTGTGGAGGGTTGATTAAGTGCCTTGAGGTTAATTAAATGAAACTCGGTATAGCAATTCAGTCAACGTTTTATTATCAATGAACGGTTTGATAGGGACCAACTTGGTCTAATTATGTATTTCACCCTTTTTCTTATGAAAATTGATAAGTTAGTTACTTTATTCTGTCAAAATCCTACCATTTTATTTTAGGGTAAAGTATACAAATCGTCTCCTGACTATAGAGTACTGCTTTATTAAGTCCATCAAGTATTAAAAGTTACATAATGGTCCTCTAACTATAAAATGGTGCTTTGTTAAGTCCATCGACTATTAAAAGTTACAAAATAGTCACCTGACTATTCATTATGTTCCAAACTCGTCATTTTCCTTTAAAAATTTAACGGTTGTCTAAGCTAGACGTTAACATGATGAGTGTGATATGATAGTCATTTGAGATTCTGAGATCATATTTTATCATATCACAGTCATCAGGTTAACGTTTAGCTTAGAACATCGTCAATTTTTTAACGAAAAATGACGAGTTTAGAACAAAATGAATAGTTGAGTGACCATTTTAACTTTTAATAGTCGAGGAACTCAACAAGGCAACACTCTATAGTTGAAGGTTCATTTTATAACTCTTAATACTCGAGGGACTTAATAAAGCATTATCTTATTGTCAGGGATCATTTTGTGTACTTTACCCTTGTATTTTATGGAATTTGAGAAGTTAGCTCAAATGTTGGTAAACACATGAACTTGAATTGGTAATTTTAACTAATTTGTTGCATATAAATTGTTGAGTTATTGATTTTATTAGATAAATTCAACAATTTTAACATTAAATGAAAGCATATAATCATAAAATAATTTAAATTAACATGATATTGAAAATCACAAACAATTACAAAGTAAATAATATTGAAAACACAACAAATTAACTCGAAGGAATAACCACAAAGCTTGCAAGAAACCAATTTATGACTTCTTGTAGCTACAATCCCTTCTCTTATTACACCAACATATAAAACACATAAATGTATCTTAGATTAAATGAAATGGTAGTTGGAACCACAAAACACGTGCAAGGAAATGCTTTTGTTTTATTAAATAATTAGGCTTCTTTAAACTTAGTGCATGCATTGATAGATAGGAGGTGGCTTATAGTGTTAAGGAAGGGAATGACATGGATAAAGAGGTGATGGAAACTTGTAGTAATATGGAGTTTGAGGGAATGAAAATATTGGAGGATGAGACTTGGAGGTTTGAGGTGGGATTGAATGTAACAGAGGAGACAAATGCTTACATATGCAATGAGATGGAAATAAATTAGACTCGAGAAGAAGGTATCTTTATATGAAAAGAGGATCTTGTGGACTTTACTTGTAATGTGTGGGTGGTGGTGGTGACTTGTAAGCATATGGGGGAAGTGGGTGAGGTGATTCATACTTGTATGGAGGAAGTGGTGGTGACTCGTACTTGTATGGTGGTGGAGGTGGCAACTCGTACTTGTATGTAGGAGGTGGTGGTGACTTGTACTTGTATGGAGGTGGAGGTGGCGACTTGTACTTGTATGGAGGTGGAGGTGGCGACTCGTACTTGTACGGAGGAGGACGTGGTGACTTGTACTTGTACGGAGGAGGAGGAGGTGACTCATACTTGTATGGAGGTGGTGGTGGCGACTTATACTTGTATGGAGGTGGAGGTGGTGACTCGTACTTGTATGGAGGTGGTGGTGGTGACTTGTACTTGTATGGAGGTGGAGGTGGTGACTCATACTTGTATGGAGGAGGAGGTTGTGACTTGTACTTGTAAGGAGGAGGAGGAGGTGACTCATACTTGTATGGAGGTGGTGGTGGTGACTTATACTTGTATTGATGTGAAGGTGGTGATTCGTACTTATACGGAGGTGGTGGTGGTGACTTGTACTTGTAAGGAGGAGGTGGAGGTGACTCATACTTGTATGGAGGTGGTGGTAGTGACTTGTACTTGTATGGAGGTGGAGGTGGTGACTCATACTTGTACGGAGGTGGAGGTGGTGACTTGTACTTATATGGAGGTGGAGGTGGAGACTCATACTTGTATGGAGGTGGTGGTGGTGACTTGTACTTGTATGGAGGAGGAGGAGGTGACTCGTACTTGTATGGAGGTGGTGGTGGTGACTTGTACTTGTATGGAGGTGGAGGTGGTGACTCATACTTGTACGGAGGTGGAGGTGGTGGCTTGTACTTGTATGGAGGTGGAGGTGGAGACTCATACTTGTATGGAGGTGGTGGTGGTGACTTGTACTTGTATGGAGGAGGAGGAGGTGACTCGTACTTGTACGGAGGTGGTGGTGGAGACTTGTACTTATAGGGAGGAGGAGGAGGTGACTTGTACTTGTACGAAAGAGGTGGTGGTGACTTATACTTGTATGGAGGTGGAGTAGGGGATTCGTACTTGTACGGAGGAGGTGGTGGTGACTTATACTTGTATGTAGGAGGAGGAGGTGACTCGTACTTGTATAGAGGTGGTGGTGGTGACTTGTACTTGTATGGAGGTGGAGGTGGTGACTCGTACTTGTACGGAGGTGGTGTTGATGACTTGTACTTGTATGGAGGTGGAGGTGGTGACTCATACTTGTACGGAGGAGGTGGTGGTGACTTATACTTGTATGGAGGTGGTGGTGGTGACTCGTACTTATACGGAGGAGGTGGTGGTGACTTGTACTTGTACGGAGGAGGAGGATGTGACTCGTACTTGTATGGAAGTGGTTGTGGTGACTCATACATGTATGGAGGAGGTGGTGGTGGTGACTTGTACTTATATGGAGGTGGTGGTGGTGACTCGTACGTATATGGAGGTGGTGTTGGTGACTTATATTTGTATGGAGGTGGAGGTGGCGACTCGTACTTGTACGGAGGTGGTAGTGGTGACTTGTAAGGTGGGGGAGGAGGTGACTTGTACTTGTATGGAAGAGGTTGTGACGACTTATACTTGTATGGTGGTGGAGGTGGCGACTCGTACTTATATGGAACCGGCTCACTGTCGGCACCCACACCGCTTATAATCAAGCACAATGCCAAGGCATATGCTAGGCGTGGCCAAATCGTGGCCATGTTGGGGGAACAAGGCACTAAAACTCCAACTCCTTTGCACTTTCTATACGATACAAATAAAGGACTATTTGCATTTCTGTTTTGTGAACTACAACCAATAGCTTGGAGTTTATATAGTAAGGTCCCCAATCTCCTTCGGAATTTTAAATTGGTCCATTTGAAACTTCCTACCTTTAATCAACCAAATAATTTAATCCCATATGTTTCTTAAATGTAATATTGATTATTGCAAAAATGAATGTGACATGCCACTAGCTCCTGCAAGTCGATGAAAATTGTACTCGACATGTTCTCAACAAACTTATTGCGTTAAAAAAGTTATTTAAAACTTCAACTATATATATAATTTCATTCACAAAATCCACGAGTTCGCCAAGCAATAATTATATGTATATATATTGGTATAAAAAAGTTTAGGTCAGAGGTGGCTCCCTCAGTTCAGGGTCAAGGCATATTTAAGTCTTAATTAAGATTTATATAGGAGTTTACATATTACCCACCAAGAATGACGGTGGTAGAATTCAATCTTGACTTTACGAACTCAAATTCTTCAATATCAACCATTTGCACTACCACTTGTTGGCAGCAATAATTATATTGTTATAAGTATTTTAAGTTTTATTATTGTTGTAAAGAAAAAATACGACAAATAGATATTCATATATAAATATAAAATGCGTGAAGTTCTAATTTAGATTTATTTTATTTAAATTTTATTTGTATTTTTATATATATTTCAGCCATTAATGTGATTATGTTTATAATATTTATTAAAAATAGTATTTTTTTTTAAATGATATAGACATACTTGAAATGTTAATTCATGAATATGTACAAAATTCGAAGTTGAATTATTATAATAATTTATATGTTGTTGGTGCCATAATATAAAGGATAAATTACGAATTTAGTACTTAAACTATTAATTTTGATATGTTTTAGTACATAAACTTTTATTTTTTTTCAAAACCATAGTTAACATTTAGTTTTTGTTTCATTTTAGTATCCCGTCGTTAAGAACCTTACGCGTTTAATATATAAACTATCAGTTTTGATACTTCGTTTTATACTACAACAAAACATATTTTTAGCGGCACTTTTAGCGATGTTTTCTGAGTAAACACCACTAATTTTAAACATATTACAATGTTTACATACAAAATGCCACAAAATGGAAAGCGTCGCAATATCTATGTACTTTTAGTGGTGTTTAATAGAAAGTACTGGGAGAAGCAACATACCAAGAAAAATGTGAAGACTTCAAAAATCAACTTCAAGATATGAAGAAGATGATAGAGCATAATCAAGCGTAGAATTTGTAGCGTTTGTTTCAACGGAGCTTTTTCAAGCGTCGGGAAGTGTTTTAGCAGCACTTAAAAAAGCCGTTATAAGGCTAAAAAAGCCGCTAAAAACCTATTGTACTGTAGTGTTAGTACTTAAACTTTCAAATTTTTTCAGAATGTATCGTTAAATTTTGAACTGTAATGAAACAAAAACTAAACTTCAGGTATGATATTGAAAAAAATTGAAAGTTTAAGTACTAAAACGAAAAAAACTAATATTTTAGGTACTAAACGTGCCTAATATAAAGTATGCGATTGACCAAATAAAAAATAATAAGTTTAAGATATTTTTTTAATCAGACGAGCAAAGTTAAAGGAGACTTGTTAACAACTATTGTGGTTGGAATAGAAAGTCAATACAAGGCAAACAAATGTATGCACGTTATATATCTATGATTAAGCATATTGCTATTTATTTTAATATTTGGTGATATACATCAATGATTCTTGTTAAAAATGATTAAATTCCGATTATAGAGATTAAATTTTTTTATTTTTATTGAATTAAAAATCGGGTCAGATTTAAGGGTAAAGTACAAAAATGGTCCCTGATTATGGGATATTATTTTATTGAATCAATTGAATATTAAAAGTTACAAAATGGTCCTATGACTATAGAGAGTTGCTTTATTGAGTCCCTCGACTATTAAAAATTACAAAATGGTCACTCGATTATTCATTATATTTCAAACTCGTGTTTTTCTGTTAAAAATTAACGGTCACCTAAGTTGAACGTTAACATATTGACTGAGATATAATAGTTGTTTGAGATTATGAGATTAAATTTTATCATATCTCAGTCGGTAGATAAACGTACAACTCAAATTGCCATCAAATTTTTAACGGAAAATGACGAGTTTGGAATATAATGAATAGTTGGATGACCTTTTTGTAGCTTTTAATAGTCAAGGGACCTAACAAAGTAACTCCCTATAGTCGAAAGACCATTTTATAACTTTTAATAGTTAGGGGACTTAATAAAATAATATCCTATAGGCATATGACCATTTATATACTTTATCCTTTCTTTAATTAGTTGCCGAAGTTTCATCACCAATTTCTATTAATTTATGAGAGGTTCTCGGAATAAAACTACGAAGAAACCTCAACTAGTTAATGAAATATGATTTGATTCTATGAACAGAAATTCCAATTTATATTTACCATAGTGAAGGTCCAACACCAAAAAATAATAATTTCCAAAGAACAATCACAGTTGTGACTAGACACTAGATCTTTTAAGTATGATTAGGGATTCGAATCCTGACGATTATAAAGATAATAAATTTAATTGGGAGAGTCGTCCTTACCTCTACAATACCTGATCCAAATTAATCGATCAATAGATCGTATGCCGGTGATTATAACTAGAAGTAAATGTACTTTAAAGATGGGTGGTGAAGCATTTTCAAAGATAATTAAAGTTAAGGAAAGTCAATAATGAGTTGTCATATCGTTTTCAAATGCACATAATTATATTATGATTAGTCTTAAGATTGTATTTTATTTTACGGTAAACTACCCGTTTAGTTTTTGCTTCATTTTAGTACCCGTTGTTAAAAATTTAAAGGACAAACTCGTCGACCGTCGTGTCTACAGTCGTTGATCGTCGCATTCGTCGACCGTTGAAGCCCAAACTTTCCAACCTATACTATTCGACCCATGAACGCAATTTCGACCTCCGTTTCATTGAAAAACACTTCAATCTCCCTAAATTGACGATGAACTCTTCGATTTCTTCATCCTCTAATCTTCGTTGTCAATCGTCTGACGAGCCTGAAACTGGACTATGTTGGTCAACTTGTCATTTTCTCGTGGTCCACCGTTCAAATTGGTAATCTGTCCACTGGAGTTATGCGTTGCCAATCTGTCCGTTAAGTTTTTAACGGCGGGTACAAAAATGAAACAAAAACTAAATGTTAGGTGTGATTTTGAAAAAATTGAAACTTTAAGTTCTAAAACATGTCAAAATTGATAGTTCAAGTATTAAATACGTAATTTGCACTTAATATTATAATTAAATTCATGTTGTAAAGAGTCTATACTTTTTTAAAGCCCAGTATTACCCTAAAGAAGTTTGATAAGTCATTAAAAGCCCAAACATCATAAATCCTTTTTTTTATTATTAATATGGGGTAAGTACAATTCAAAGATAATTTTCGACAATTTGATATTAAACGCCCACATCCCTAACATTTCTGGTGCCCAAACATAATAATTACTAGCTCCTCTAGTGCCTCAATCTCAAATTCTAAACCCTAAATTATAAACCTTAACCTTAAAAAATATTATTTTACTGTGAGCTAAAGAAATATTTATTTATGGATTATAAATTTTAATTAAATCTAAGTTATTTATTTATTTAAAAGTAATGACTATAAAATGGTGTAAAACTTATTAGTTTTACATAGTGTAAGTGGATCCTAACCCATATATATATGAGTAGGATATGTTATATGAAATCTATTAATTTTATGCGTAAATATAATAATTAGATGATTCTAAATAGAAAATAAAAATTCTATTATTTTAATTTTAGAAAAATAAAAAGGATAAATAATAATATTATTTATAAAGTTTTAATCTCGGACATCCAAGTTTATCCCATGATTATATTTTTATATAATGGGTGATTGAGTTTTTTCTTTTTATAATCACCAATATCTAATCTACTGATAAACTAATATGAAATAGGTACTACAGGAGTCACTTATGAGGCTAATCGCTCTTTATTAGTTTACTTTCTTCACATCATTAAAATTGAACTCTATAATATTTAATATTTTTGGCTAATTCGATTAATTTAATTAATTAACTAATTTCGAATCAAATTAATCGTTAAATATTTTTTAAAAATTAATTGTTCCCCGACCGAACTAATTTAGTGGCCGGCCGTTTTAACCGAACTAATTTAATTCGGTCGATAAATTCCATTAAATTCGAAAAACGAACACCCCTAGCATGTATGTATATTTTCTTTTGATTATCGTTTTAATAGCTATATTTTACATTAATTTATCTAATTTTAATGCTATGCATTAATTTATATTACTTTCATTTAGATACCATAATCCAAAATTATGACACCGTATTATGAAATTCCTAGCTCCGCCCCCGGATTGAGATAAAACGAGATATTTCTCTATGGTGAGTTAAAAATATTTATTTATGAATTATAAATTTTAATTGACTATAAATTAATGTAAAACTTATTAGTTTTATATAGTGTAATCTGATCTACCCACGTATATCCATATATATATATATATATATATATATATGAGATTCACATAGTGTTGCTTCTAAAAGGTGCAATTGGAAAGTCAAGAAATGGCTGCAGAAGCATAAACTATTCTTCTGCTCATGTTTTTTCCACCTGAATCGTGTGAGATATTTAAAATAGAAATCATGTGTTTACTGAATGTAAATGGCTCAAGTTTCAAGGCAAATTCAACTCATTTTCTTCAATCACAATTCTTGTATTACTCCTCATGTGGGTTTCTTAATTGCTTACTGATTAATTTGGGAAACAAATGAGGTAATTACAAAATCAATCCCTGAATTTGGCTCTCTCCTATTCATTCCAGTCCCAAAAGTTACCAAATAAGTGTCGTTTCTCTGTGCCATAAAGTAATATAACTTGGTCAATCAGTGCTGAACCACAAGCGTAGGCTATGGTGATATGGATAAGACTTGCAGAATAATAATGATCAACCAACGGGGATTGATTCAAGTGATAAGTAGTTTGATATCACTTAAGTAAAGTCTCAGGTTTGAGTCATTGTGTATGTAAAAAAATTCCCGCTGAGATGCTCATCCACCAAAATCATGTATGTAATCCGGGTCAGTCCAGATTAATCAGGACGAAACCTTGAAACTAGACAACAACAATAATAATGATAATAATAATATCACATTACGCATATGACAAAAAATGAAAGAATATTTTTATAACATCACAACAAAGAAGTCTTTTTCCACTCAAATTATTAATTTATTTTTGCATGATTTAAAGTTGGTCACCATGTCCGTATCTATAGCTTCGAGTGCAAGTGTGGGCTCATTAGATGTTGAAAGTAAGGGGAAAATATGATTATGTGAATTAGAAGCAAATATAAAGATTTATATTTGATAGAGTAATAATAATAATAATAATAATAATAATAATAATAATAATAATAATAATAATAATAATAATAATAAATTTATCTAAAAAAATAAAAGATAAAACATATTAAAATCACTTAACTAACTAAATTGGAATTGGAATGATGATTTTGAACATTGAATTTTCGAAAATCATAAAATAATTATTAAATTTATCGATTTATTCGTGATAATTTAGAGTTCAAAAGATCTTGTTATCAATATATCTAGGGATGGATTGAAAGAGTGATGATATTTTCTTATACACTTTTGAATTCTCGTATGATTTAAGTATTTTTTTTATTTTAACTTATAAATTACTTTTGCCTTTGTAATAGACTCAATTTATCGTTTTCACCCTTATGATATATTCACATCAATTTAACCATCGAAGTTGTTTAATTGCATCAATATTTAAAATATTTACTGTTATTTAGGGTTTTTAATTATGGTTCAATTTTTAGGTTTAAGGTTTAAGGTTTAGAATTTAATGTTTTAAATTGGATTTAGGGTTTAGGATGATTCGATTAAATAACTCCAGGGGCTAAATTGATGTAAAAATACCATAGAGGCGAAAACAATAAATTAGGTCTACTAAAGGTTCAAAAGTAACCCTTAATATGTTTGTAACACGCTTAAAATTTTATAAGTTTGATTTAATCAAAATAATCTTGTATTTGTTCAGATAATAAACCAATTTAAGGTCGAAATGTTAGATTTCAAAGGCAACAATATGAATTAACTTCATTTTTTTAATAGTTTATGATGGTTACAAGGTAATATATGTTTAAATCTTTTTAAGCCATTGATAACACACACCTTATAGACGTAATTATTAAAAAATGAAATCTCTAAAGAGCACAATAATCACTTCACTCAATAGGTTTGAGTTAATTATAATTAAATGTTAATAAATTTGTTTTTTATATATATTTAATTTTTCTATTTCCCTCTCTCTCAGTCTCGGTGTCCCGCTCCAAACGGTTTACTACTTAGACCCATCAACTAACTCATTTCACACCTTATTTCTTTCCAAAATTCTAAGCAAGCCCCCACAACCATCACCATCATCGTCTTCTTCATCATGACCATTTCCCCCCACCATGAAGCCTCCTCCCCTCACCCTATCTTTCACTGTATAAAATCTCCACTAACCCATATGGCAGAACCTATTACTTATCAACCAAAAAAATAACCCATATTTTTTTGTTTGGATTGGGAAATCCAAGGCTCAATTCCCTATCTCTTTAGGGTATTTTATTTCCCATGATGAGGAAACCTACCAAAGGTAGCACCACCACCATTACTAATAAGCTTAGGAAAGGGTTGTGGTCGCCGCAGGAAGATGAGAAGCTTATCAACTATATGCTAACCAATGGCCAGGGTTGTTGGAGCGACGTAGCTCGGAATGCCGGCCGGCAAAGGTGCGGCAAAAGCTGCCGTCTCCGGTGGATCAATTACTTGAGACATGATCTCAAACGAGGCGCCATTTCGCCGCAAGAGGAAGAGCTTATCGTCCATTTGCATTCCATTTTTGGCAACAGGTATGCTTCCTCTTTCTTGCATGCATGTTTAAAAACCCTAGTTAAGAATACAAGGAGAGGTACTCTAAGTAATTTGGGTTCGAATAACTTTATCTACAGGTTTGCGTGAGTTTAACCGGCTTAAACGTTACTTTATAATCATGTTTATTAAAAAAAATAGTCAAAATAGTTGTGGGAGCTAAGCAATGATAATTACATAGAAATAATCTAATTGCTTGCTTATAATTTCATTGACAAAATTAGCGTTTTTGATCATAGACTTCTTCCTCATTATAGTCCCATTGTTTATCATTTCATCTGTTTAATTATGATTCCGGTCCCTCTACCATGTTTAAATTAAGGTTTTAATCCTTATACTTTTTAATTTTAGCCTAATTTATTCCTTTGTTTCTATGATATCATTAATCAGACTAAATGATTAACGTAATATTAGGTTAAAATTAGGGTTGTCCCATTATTATGAATTATTTTTAGTCTTTCCTTCGATCGAACTTAATCTTAAATTGAAGTCACAGTCGCTCGTTTAGAATCAAAGCATCCATGCATTTTATGAATGAAAAGCATCGACTCGTGTTTTTAATTTTGGTTGCTTCAAAGGTGGTCTCAAATTGCTGCTCGCCAGCGCGGTCGTACCGACAACGAAATAAAGAACTTTTGGAATTCAACAATAAAGAAGAGGCTCAAGAATTTGTCGTCCACCCCCTCGCCAAACACCAGCGATTCGTCGACGTCGGACCCCAACAAAGATTTCGTTGCTGTCGACGGGTTCATGTCGACGGAAGAACAAGCGATTCTTCCCATGTACATCGATTTATTGTCGACATCGTCCAACTCTTCCTTGCAATCCGTGGTCTTGAATCCCACCGGAACCATGTTCGGCGCCACCGCTGGGTACTTTGTCGACGTGAACGGCAACGGTTTCTACAGTGAAAACGAGATGTTCGGTGGCACCGACAACAGCGAGGAATTATATATCCCTCCTTTAGAATCCATTGGAGAAAGCCCTCAAACGGGAAACACATTCGATACAACGTCATCTCCACCGCCGTCACCAGCACCGACAACAACATTAACAACAACCCTTTTAGTGTCATAAACAACAACATCAAATCGGAGAACATAACTGCCGGCAGGAATTTTTGGTTAGGGGAAGAGCTTAAAGTTGGGGAATGGGATTTGGAGGATTTGATGAAAGACGTCTCTTCCTTTCCATTTCTTGAACCCTGCCTGTTTGATAGTGAAAACACTACAAACATCCTAGATTCCGACAATACTTACAAAACCAGCCAAAAAAAACATTCGTATAAGGTTGTAGGATAGCTGAGTTTAGAATAACGGTGGCATGAAAATATTTGTAACCAATATTTTTTCTTCTTCTTATGAACAAGAACAAATGTACTTTGATTTGACTTGAATATGCCATGTAAACAGTATATGAAATAAGATGAATAATTTTTTTTATTAATATAGACAAGTACGAGGTAATATTTGTTCAAATCAATCTTTCGACAATAAATGCTTATACCCCTAACATCTATGGTGTTCAAACTCGGATATTCAAGGAATAATAATAATTCTTTTATCACGAAGGTAACTCAGTTCATTCCAAGAGGAATATTTCATTTCCGACAAATAGTGCTCGTTGTAGTTGGTCTGACTAATTTCTAACCGGGTAAATTACGAGTTTAGTAATAAAATTATCATTTTTGGTCTGTTTTAGTATTTAAATTTTAATTTATTCAAAATTATATCTAAAATTTAGTTTTTGTTTCATTTTAGTACTCGTGGTTAAAAACTTTAGCTTTTGTTTCATTTTAGTACCTCATTCAAAATTTAATGTTAAATTTTGAAAAGATTGAAAGTTTAGGTACTAAACGTGTTAAGTTTTTTAACGACATGTACTAAAATGAAATAAAAACTAAACATTATGTATTTGAAAAAATTGAAAGGTTAGATACTAAAATAGACAAAATAATAGTTTAAGTATTAAAGCCATACTTTGCCCAATAAAATACTAACATTCGTGTAAATATATAATACATCGAATATAATTGAGACATAAAAAAGTAATAGAAACATGAAACAAAAATTAGAGGGTCAAACTAAAATTTAGGGTAAACTACGTATTTAGTACCTAAACTATTAGTTTTGATCCGTTTTAGTACTTAAACTTTCAATATTTTTTAAAATCATACCTAAAGTTTAGTTTTTATTTCATTTTAATATCCAACCATTAAAAACTTAACGTGTTTAGTACCCAAACTATCAGTTTTGATTCATTTTAGTACCTAAACTTCCTATCTTTGGGTTAACTACTTCAAATACCACACATCTTTAAGCACGGGCTCGTTTATGTTTAGCTGCAATTATGTCTCTCCGTCGTTAATTCATTAACGGAGCGATGACATAGCATCTCTGTTCTGTGACAGCGATGACATGGATCCCTCATCAAAACGACGTCCTTTTGGCATGACCGTTTTGATGCTCAAGAAGCTTAAAACGACCACCAAGTTAACTTAAGAATTGTTACAACATTAACAAAACTATTATAAATGTTAACTAACATTTTGAATTTTTTGAGCTGACAACACATAAATATGCCTTCAAATAAAGCTGGCTAATACTTGGTCAGTAGCATAAGCTTTTCTTTTCCCCTATAAAAACACTTTAAATCTCTGCAATTCGAAGCACACAACATCTTCAATAGCTTCTCTCACTTTTGTAATTTTCAGCAGTGCTTTTCTTTAGTTTGAGTTAGCCGGGAAAAATGGAGGGAAGCAAAATGGTCATTGCCTGCATTATGGTTGTTGCTGTATTGGCCAGTGGAGCCACTGCTTTTGAGGGAAGACCAGGGTGCTATCGCACCATCACCAATGGAAAGTGCGGGTGTGGCTATGGGTGTTCCTCCTGCTGCTGCACTAGCTGCCTTGGCTTCTATGGTTGCATACTTCTTTTGAAGTTCATTCCTTTGTTTCTAATTCCTTGGTGAATATTGTTTCTTGGCTTTTGATTCCTTTTCTGGTTTTTGGTTCTGTTGGTTAATTACTTTAATGGCTGCATGGTTCTGTTTGTTTACCTTCTTTCTTACTACAAATAGATGCTTAGAATTAGATCCAAGCTATTAAACCATTGAAATCATAAACTCCAAAGGTCCATAAAACAATAGCTTACAAGTCGCTGAATAATGGGTTTAATTTTTTGTATTCATAAAAACTAAAATTTCAAACTGTTATTTAACATTTATAATAGTTTTATTAAGATTGTCACAAGTTCTTAAGATAGCTTGGTGATTAAATATTTAGCTTTAGATTTTAAAGGTCTACGGTTTGAATCCTATGAAAAATATTTTTTCATCAACAAAACGATCTCATTTTGATGAGGAAGTCATGTCATCGCCGTCACATAACAGAGATACTATATCATCGCTCCGTTAATGAATTAACGGTAGAGTAGTATAATTGCGGCTAAACATAAACGTCAGCGTTAAAATTGACAAAATTAAAACGTCAATGACATAAATGAGTCCGCACTTAAAAATGAATGATATTTGAAGTAGTTAATCTTTTATCTTACTAAGTAGATCAAGCTTATTTGTCGTTACCCTGATTCGTGCTGGAGACACGCGTTCCCCGTCAAGTGCGTGTCACGTGGGTCTTCCCTATACCTCACCCAAGGCTCTACTCTCATTAAGTCCACTCGCTTTTTCACCTGCAACCGGCTATTCACCGGTGTTCTGCTCTTAGCCAACCCTACTAAATGCTCTATACCAAAAGGTCAAGCCCATTTTCGAAAGTTTTAATTTGATTAATTCATTATTGGTTGATCGATGAGGTTATTAATTGAGTTAAATTTTTATTGTATATTTAAAAAATAACGACAAATATAAAGATTATATAATAAAATAAACATTAAAATTGTATATGATAAACCTTTTTAGAAAAATATTATGATTCTGACTGTCGGAGGTCTCTCATAAAAATTGCTCTCAACCTAGCGTTGGGGGCAGCCTGCTATCATACATCCCCTTATCCCATTACATATGGGAATAGGGTCAGCTAATTTTTTTATTATGATTGGTCTAGTGGATTAAGCACTAAATCTCTTAAGCAAGGTTAGGGGCTCGAATTATGGCGATTGTGAATGGAGTAAATTGGGTTAGGAGGGTCGTCTTTGCCTCTGCAGTACTCAATCCGAATTAATCGATCAATAGATTGGATACTGGTAGTTATACAAAAAAATAGAAGATTATGGCTGTAAACGAGCTGAGTCGAGCTTGAGTATTGTTGAACTCGACTTCACCCGAAAACTCTAAAATGGGGCTCGACTCGAACTCGAAAACATGAATTGAAGTTCGAAAAAGCTAAAAAAACTCGAAATGAAAACAAAATGTTAAACTTAATTTGAACCTTAAATAAATAAAAATCTTATACTGTATTTAAAAAAAATCAACACATAAATGTTAATATTATTAATAATTCATTTATAAAAAAAATCTTAATATATCATATTTTTCGAATTACTCACGATCTTTTCGAATCGAATATTAAATAGTTCATTTCAATTCATTAAGAATTCGATTCGAGTTCGAGCTAAGATCAAATCTATTCAAATCGAGTATTTCTCAAGCTTTGAATTAATTGATATCGACTAATTCATGATTTGTCTCATCTCATTTACAGTCATATAAAAAATATGACTAAATATATATATATATATATATATATTAATCAACTTATATTTAATTATAATCTCAAGTATCCATCTATAAAGATATATTATTGGACCACGCATTAGATCAGATGTATTTGAATAGTGAACTACAATAATTATATTATAAATAATTAATATATTAAGTTGGTTAAATAATCCACGTGTCGGTAAAAGCTTGATTAAAACCTGGATTCCAGGAGCTGATGATGAGATCAAAAGCTTAATTCTCAGAGTTCAAATACGGGAAAAAAAGAAGGAAACATTGGTGAAACTATTTTTAGTGTTATACTGAGAACTGCATAGAAACTAGATTGACTCTCTCTCTCGCTCTCTTATTGATTTTGATTTTCTCTCTAAAAAATCCTCAAAATTCTAGGGCTTTTGTTCTTCTCCGTTAAACGGGTACGTGTATTTTTCAATTCCCCTTTTCTCTTTCCTTGCGTTAATCGGTATCTTAATGTCAGCTTATTGTTTTCAGTTGTTTATTCTTACGTCTTTTTGGGTAATTATTAAGGCGGAATTGTAATTAGTTTAGGGTTTGAGAAATTGGGATGCTTTGTTCTGGTTGGAATTTCGTATCTTTTCTGGTGGTTATGTGAGAATTATGTATTCGGGTTGTGATATTTGAAGTTTTAATCATGGAATTTGATGGATTGAGGTGTTATTTAGTGTTAGAAATTATTGGATTTGATGGAGCAGGCCAAGTAAAGAACTACTACTTGTGAAACCTTTAATTTTTGGTGATGATACTCCTAATCCTTGATGAATTTTCGGATCGTTTACATCGAATTTTGAACATAGAAATTGCTAGTAGTTTCCTCACAGTTATATAAGTTTGCTAACATGGAAGCAAAATGTTTTGTTTTTGCAATTCGAAATATTAATCGGTTCTCAGTTTTTTCCAGGTGTGTGGTCGAAGTTTTGTGGTTATGGTTTTGATGCTTTCGTTTCTCTTTTTTAATAGAAATTTCGATTTATTCTTCTGATGAATGTGAAATTGACTATCAGTTGAATTTTTCTTTCGGAGGATTGCAGTTAAATTCTGAAGATGGAAGTCGATTAGAGTTTAGAACCTGAGGTGTGGTGTTCGATAAACTGCAGTTTATTCCAAACTAAAGTGGCGTGATATTGGCTACGGTTCCATCCCCACGGTAGCTAGAGGAGTAGACTCGTTAAATTCATCTTCAATGGAATGCACTAATGGTTCAGAGTCGAACGATAGGCAGTCACTGTCCAATGGTGAGCTAAATGAAGAGGATGATGTTAATAAAGAAACACGAACTACTTCATCCTCTTGGTCAGGTACTTCACATCATTACTGTTTGTTACCGATTATTCCTTTTCATACAGGAGATTTATGGTCGTGGTGCCAATCGTTTTTATTCTATTCATTTGCAGTTGGAAATGGTGGTCAAGAACATCACAATTTGCAGCATGTTGCGTCTAACATACCTACTATGCGTGATGAAGGCCTCACGCAGCCTCCCCTGCTTGAGCTTGTCGGTCATTCAATTGTAAGTGCCTTGGGGGCCAAGATTTTCTGTTGTATACAGTTAGGGGTCTTGTTGTTACGGAACTTGCTGTGGAAGGATTCCTAGTTTTCTTCCAACCGTTTTGCAGGCATGTTCATCGAATCCTTATATGGACCCGCATTATGGAGGAATGATGGCAGCTTATGGACATCAGCCTTTGGTATGGAACTTTAATAATTTAATCTTGAATTTTTTTATGCTTATAGTTATCGATTTGTTTCTGTTAGTGTTAATGTCTTTTGTATGAAACCATTCTCATGAGACATCAAGGTTATACTGATGCTTCAAAAGAGATTTCTGTTTTATTTGTTTTTCTTCTCTTTGTATGAACCTTCTTCTGATACTCGAAATTCGAGACATGGTGCACTCTCTAATGAATGAATTTTTGTGATGGCCAGGGATATCCTCCATTTGTTGGAATGCCTCATGCAAGAATGACTTTGCCGATCGAAATGGCACAGGAGCCTGTTTACGTAAATGCCAAGCAGTACCAGGGAATTCTGAGGCGAAGGCAGGCCCGTGCCAAAGCAGAACTTGAGAAGAAGGTTGTAAAATCCCATAAGGTAAATCGAAAACTGAAGTTCTGAACACTCTTTCGGTTGGCATAAGTAACATTGTTCCGGTTCAAATAGCTACTCTTTGAGAAACTTGTTCTGTTTTATTGTACAGCCCTATCTCCACGAATCCAGGCACCAGCATGCTTTGCGTAGGGCGAGAGGCACTGGAGGGCGTTTCACAAAGAAAACAGATGCCGACACGAGAGAAGCAAAAGGATCGGGTTCAGGTCCCACCTTATCTCAGTCTCCGAGCTCCTCCAGTTCAGAACCATTGCAAACCGATTCTGGGGAAACCTGGGCCTCCTCCCTCACTCTGCAAGAAGCAAGAGTGTCCCAAGTGTACGATATGCAGCATGTCAACGGCAGCAGTCATTATCAGAAATTAGGCAGTAACATCTCCTCTAATCAGGCCGCTTGCTATCCGGTGAATGGAGGGCACCCTTTCAAAAGCTGAAGGGCCGGTTGAATTCCCAAGACTTGTCCTTGATCACAGTCGTGACAGTTCATTGTCGAGGAGGTAAATCATTCTTGGCTCTGGTTGACGGGACGGGAGAAGATAAGAGAAGGGAGAAGCGATCGCACAAGACCTGAACATCGTTTTCGTCTTCTGTGCTTCTTTCAATTTTCCCTAGCTGCAATTTTGTTCATAGACTGTTGAATAGAACTGAATAGCAAGGTAGTTAAATTAGTGGTTGGTTGGGAAAGGTTTCATAACAAGCAGATGACACACAGGTTTTCTTTGTCGTTTTAAGTTAAAAGACATTTCGTTTTGTAGATCGAATATGGTATTTGAAGACATGATTAAATACCTTAGTGATTATCTTTTAACTTGGTTATGATATTACAAATTGATTCCTTCTTTTAATCACTTTTATAAATAATAATATTTTAATAAAAACTTTAATAATATAAATAAAATATATTATTGTCTTATTTAATACTTAAGTAATTAACTAAAAATTTAGGTAAAAATGTAACTTTTGTTCTTATAACAGATTCAATTTATCATTTTTGTTTTTATCATGTGTTCTCGTCAATTTAAACCTCGAAGTTGTTCAAATGCATCGATGTTTAAAATATTTATTATTGTTTAGGATTTTATGTTTGAGTCAAGGGTTTATGATTTACGCTTTAGAGAGTATGAGTTTATGGTTTAAGGTTTAGAATTTAGGGTCTTAAGTTTGGGGAGAGTATAGAATGATAAAATTAAATAACTTTGAAAGTTAAATTGATGCGAAAATATAATATGGCCGAAAATGATAAATTGAGTCTACTACAAGAGTAAAGGTAGTTTTTAAACCAAAAATTTAAAATTTTAGTTTGCTATTCTTAATTAATAAAAATGTTGTTAAAATAAAATTAAGAGTAAAGTGCATAAATGATTCATTGACTATAGGATATTGCTTTATGAAGTCCTCCGATTATTAAAAATTATAAATAGTCTTCCGACTATAAGAAGTTATTTTTTAAGTCCCTCGACAATTTAAAGTTATAAAATGGTCACCTAATTATTCATTATATTCTAAACTCGTCCTTTTTATAAAAAAAAATTGATGTCGGTCTGAAATGTATGTTTACTTGCTGACTGAGACATGATAATTTGATCTCATAATCTCAAACGACTATTATATCTCAATCAGCATGTTAATGTCCAACTCATATAACCATTAATTTTTGGCAAAAGGGTAACTTTTGCCCCATAGTAAACTCAATTTATCACTTTCACCCCTATCGTATTTTTGCACCAATTTAGCCCTCGAAGTTGCTCAATTACATCATTCTATATCATACCTCTAACTTAAAATTCTAAATCATAAACCCTAAACTATAATCCCATAACCTCTAAACCATTATTATAAACCTAAATCCTAACTTAGGGTTTATAATTTAGGGTTTTATGTTATGAATATGATATATAATTATGCAATTAAGCAACTTTGAAGGCTAAATTGATACGAAATACGATAGGGACGAAAATTATAATTTGGGTCTAATATAGGGGCAAAGGTAACCTTTAAGTCTTAATTTTTTTTAACAAAAAATGACGAGTTTATAAACTAATGAATAGTCGAGTGATTATTTGATAACTTTTAATTGTCAAAGGATCATTTTATAACTTTTAATAGTCCAAGGGCTTAATAAAGTAGTATCCTATAGTGGGGGGCTATTTGTGTACTTTACCCTTAAATTAAATAATGTTTTACCATTTTATCTTTGACTGCTGTTTTTAATTGGAAATATCATAGCCGCCAAGTCCTGCATTATAGGTTCTTACCTACTTCACCCTGGGTAAAACGTAAATCTGTCCAGGTTCAATGTACCACTAAAAATCCCAGATTATGTTGGATTCGTTGTCCATAATATTTGTAACGCGACCCCTTTTGAGATTTTACAACGCGCCCCCACTTCACCATGGGTAGCACACTAACAGTTTCTCGATTGAATGTTTTGATAAGTTCGACACCTATTAGATAATTTTTTAAAGTTGAATTTTGTTGTTATATTAAAAGGTATAAAAAGAATCTATCTATATTTAAAAATTCAATTCTAAATTTAATTAAAAAACATATAATTATTAAACACCAAAATCTTATGTAAAATTTGATTGTTATATAGATGCAAACCGACATTGTTTTGGTGAAATTTCCCCCTAAAATAACTTTGTTTTAATGCATTTAACTATTTAATGACGGAGTGATCTAAAAATCGAATGTATTAAGTGCGGTGAGAAAATTGAATAGATTTAAAGTACAATGAGTGAAATAGGAGAAAGAGTAAAGTTCAGTGAAGATTGGTGTAATTTATCCTAAGAACAAATCATACTTTGTTGAGTACCCTTAACTATAGAATAATGCTTTTTTAAGTTCATTTACTATTAAAATTTATAAAATGATCATTTGATTATATAGTATTATTTTGTTGAGTCTCTCGACTATCAAAGTTATAAAATAGTCACTAAATTATTCGTTATATTTCAAACTCGTTTTTTTGTTAAAAATTAACAGTATTCTGAGTTGAACGTTGACATGCTGACTGTGATATGGTAAAATCTGATCCAAAAATCTCAGACGATTATCACATCTCAGTCATCATGTTGACATCAAACTTAGACAAAACAACATTCTATAGTTAGAGAACTACTTTGTAACTTTTAACAATAAAAAAACTTAATAAAACAATACTCTGTAATCGAAGATCATTTGTGTAATTTACCCTCTTTAAAACTACACCACAATCACAATGCAAAATATAAATACTTATCAACTATTATGAAAATGACAAATCAGCCAGTCCCATTAAGCTACCGCGCGTGGGAATGTTATGCAAATCAAGATTCGATAAAAAAAAAAACCGGAAGTCCCGTGGCGGGCACGTGATGGGCGACCCTTATCAAAACCAAATAAAACACTTTGCACTTTACACGAATAAAATCTACTCCTCTATTAAAGCATCGAATTCTCTGGCTTTCCTTTTCGCCATTGTCGCTCCGCCCTTCCTTTTCCTTATTCATTTTGGAGAGCACTGTGGATAGAAAAAAACCCTACCTTTTAATCTCCTTTTCCCTTTTTCTGAAGGGGAAATCGAACTGAAAGTTTAAGGCTTTGGGTTTTTGTTTCGAGCTAATGACGACTTCGTTTGGAGCTGCGACGGGTACCGTCGTCCCGACGGATCCGAAGATTCGAGTCCAGAGCTTCACCGGGTTGGAATTCTCGCATTCTATAGCTGCGAGGAGGAGTCTTCGCGTGTTTCCCGCTCCTCTCTGCAGTCCCGCTCTCGTCAGAGCTGTCTCCACGGTCAGTCTTGTTTTGATTTTATAATTTGATTTCGTTTTGAATGTTGGTTGTTGTTTGGAATCTAAGAAAGTCTGAGAAAATACTGCGTCTTTTTGCAATTTGTATTCTTTATTGCTTTATGAGAATTGTTAATGATCAATTGAATCTGTTTTCTTTAAAATTGATGTATTTTTATGTTAATTTGTTCTTTTATTGCTGAATCCCTTTACAGCCAGTGAAGCCTGAGACGAGTGCCACAAACCAAAGCGGAGTAAAGTTGAGATATTCAAAGAGCAAAGCAATTTCATCAGATACCCTCTCAATGAGGAGATATTGACTGATACCCCGAACATAAACGAGGCTGCGACACAATTGATTAAGTTCCATGGGAGCTATCAACAGTACAACAGAGACGAGCGTGGGGGAAGGTCTTTTTCCTTCATGCTTCGGACTAAAAACCCGGGTGGGAAAGTCCCGAACCAGCTCTACTTGACTATGGACGATCTCGCCGATCAATTCGGCATCGGAACTTTGCGTTTGACGACGAGGCAGACCTTTCAGCTCCATGGTGTTTTGAAGAAGGACCTCAAGACTGTGATGGGCACCATTATTAGAAACATGGGTTCGACCCTTGGTGCGTGCGGGGATCTAAATAGGAATGTTCTTGCTCCGGCTGCACCACTGATGACGAAAGAATACCGGCTTGCGCAAGAAACTGCTGACAATATTGCTGCATTATTGACTCCTCAATCGGGTTTTTACTATGATGTATGGGTGGATGGGGAGAAATTCATGACATCGGAGCCTCCGGAAGTTGTGAAAGCCAGGAATGATAACTCTCATGGAACGAATTTCCCTGATTCTCCCGAGCCGATATATGGGACGCAGTTCTTGCCAAGGAAGTTTAAGATTGCTGTGACTGTGCCAACTGATAACTCGGTGGATATTCTCACGAATGATATCGGTGTCGTGGTAGTTTCTGATGAAAATGGAGAGCCTCAGGGGTTCAACATATATGTAAGACAACCATAGGATCAAAGAAATCATATCTTTTCCCTTTCTCCTTGCACACTTTTATACCTAAAAGCATCCATTTCTCGTAATTTGTTTTTGCAGGTTGGTGGCGGCATGGGAAGAACCCATAGGATGGAGACCACTTTCCCACGTTTGGGAGAACCACTCGGTTATGTGCCAAAGGCGGACATTTTGTATGCTGTTAAAGCCATCGTTGCCACACAACGTGATAATGGAAGAAGAGATGACCGTAGGTATAGTAGAATGAAATATTTGATCAGCTCTTGGGGGATTGAAAAGTTTAGAACCGTTGTTGAGCAATATTATGGAAAGAAATTCGAGCCTTTCCATGAGTTGCCTGAATGGGAATTTAAGAGTTACTTGGGATGGCATGAGCAGGTTCGTGTTTTTAATTTGTAGATATCACACATGATGCTTTCGGTTTGACCTTTTTTTAACTTCCATGTTTGCCTTGTTACTAATTGCATTTTAATCTTACGATGTTATGCTTGGCTTGAATTGTTTTCATTTTCAACTTCATCCTTGGCTTTAATAAAGTGCATTTGACCTTCTTGGTAACTTTTCTTTTCTCAGGGTGATGGTGCTGTATTTTGCGGGCTCCATGTCGATAATGGTCGCATTGGGGGAAAGATGAAAAAGACACTGAGGGAAGTAATAGAGAAGTATAATTTAAATGTGCGGATCACCCCAAACCAAAACCTCATTTTGTGTGATGTTCGTGGTGCATGGAAGCGTCCTATTACCACAGTTCTTGCTCAAGCTGGGCTGCTGGTGAGATTTTCATTACTTGCAAAATTTACCTTCTGGTTTCTGAACCTGCAGTCTACTATGTCTGTTAAAGTTTTAAAGTGTAGCATCTTAATCAAATGGATACGTGTATTTTCTGTATATTATGCATATGATAATGTATCTCATACTTTAAAGAATATGAGCTGCTGCCATGGTAGTTCTGTTAGAATATATATGTTAATGTCTTTCACTTTAGTCTATATTTTAGGGCGAGTTATATATATTATAAAATTAGTACAACTTAAGAGTTATTTTCCCTTGTTAAATACTTCAATTAACAAGTTTACTCAAGAATTACGTTGTTTTAAGGCAAGTTGGTAGCTAGACAAGACCACTCATAGGGAATCACTCGAGACAAACCATTTCTGACTATACTATTGCATAGAATCCCACTGAAAAGTTTGGATGGAGGATTTGAATCCTCATTCATTTTATTTTCAGTTTCTTTTGATTTTGTAAACAAATTCCAGGAGGATTAATGACAGCTTAAAGTTGGAGATCGAATGGAAATGTGAGCACGGAGTTCACCTACTTAGACCATGGAGTGATGAATGTAAATAACATTTCCCAGGAACTTAATGTCTGCGTGGGTCGCATTTCGTGCTTAATTGTTTAGCTGTTTTTCTCTTTTTAATATCCATTCCCTGAACCTGGTTGCCATACTCTCCTTTATGTTTTTCATAATTCATTCGTTGAATTAGTCATACAGCTGACTGTTTCTTGCTATGAAACAGCATCCTAAATATGTGGATCCCCTGAACTTAACTGCTATGGCATGCCCAGCTTTCCCACTTTGCCCTTTGGCAATAACCGAAGCTGAACGTGGCATACCTGATATCCTCAAGCGGGTCAGAGCTGTCTTCGAGAAGGTATGTCGTATATTTATCAAATATCCTGTTAAATTTAAATATGTTCTCCCCAACAAGAAGACCGACTTGACTGACCTAACACTGAAGTTTGAATGAATATCATTGCCTGAAATTTTTGCCTTCCAAGCTGAAATTTAAATCCTCCTCCCTACCGGTTATCTGAATCTAATAAATAGATCGGCACTGCCTAATTCCAGGTCGGACTCAAGTACAGTGAGTCGGTGGTGATAAGGGTAACTGGCTGCCCCAATGGTTGTGCTAGACCATACATGGCTGAGCTCGGACTGGTCGGTGATGGTCCAAGCAGCTATCAGGTAGTTCAACTATTGGACGTCATACCTTTTAGTAGTAATAACTAGTTGGATAACTTGGTAACGTTGTTTTTGTTGAAATTAGATTTGGCTTGGAGGAACACCTAGTCAAACTCAATTAGCAAGGACTTTTATGAACAAAGTCAAAGTTCAGGATCTCGATAAAGTTTTCGAGCCCTTGTTCTACTACTGGAAACGAAAACGACAGCCCAAAGAATCATTCGGCGACTTCACAACCCGCATGGTAGTATTCTTCTTCATCTTCTCGTTGCTCGTTAATCTTTATCCGCTTTCCTTCGGAACTTCCTCTACGATCAAATGAAATTCATGGCCTAGCAAACTGATGAGCATGATGATCTCCCTCAGGGTTTCGAAAGACTTCACGAGCTGGTGGACAAATGGGAAGGTCCAGTGCAATCACCGGCAAGGTACAACTTAAAGCCTTTCACCGACAAAGAGACGTATGAAGCCATGGAAGAGCTTGCCAAGCTGCAGAACAAGACTGCTCATCAGCTGGCGATGGAAGTCATTCGCAATTTTGTTGCTGCCCACCAAAACGGTAAAAGCGAATGAGTAAGTTTACGATATTGCTGTTGGCAGCATTGTCAATAAACGAAAACCGTCGGGTGTCTCTTTCAGGCCTGTTACTGTTCGGTAACATCGTCCGACAACAGACGAAATTTGAGTTTTTTGAGGTCGTTTCGGATTCTAGTTTCAGCATCATCTTAGCTTTATATAGGATCTTATTGTGAGTTGTTGAGGATTGATTGTGGACTTTGGTTTTAAAATATAATGCCTGTAGCATAGGAATGAGGCATCAAAAGCTAATGAATAAAGCTTTTATGACAGTCAACAATGGCAAATTATGGATTTAATTTGAAACCCAATTTCAAACATGTTAAACAAACTTCAGAAAAAAGTATAATCTTTTAGACAAATTACATGTGAAGTGGTCCCCAAGTGGCTATTGGTTCTCGGAATCAAACATGGATATGGTGCACGCCTTGACTCTCTCCGACTGTGACGTAGTAAATTAAGGCATGATTAATACTAGGGTAAATTACACTTTTAGTACTGGTCTGTTTTAGTATCTATTTTTTTATTTGTTTCTCAAAATTTAGCGGTAAATTTTGAATGGGTATTAAAATAAAACAAAATTTGAACTTTAAGCATGATTTTAAAAAAATGAAAGTTTAAATATAAAATAGATTAAAATTGATAGTTTAGGTATTAAATTTGTAATTTACTCTTAATTGTATTAAATACATGTGAGTGTGTATATACATATTTGGGTAAATTATGCCGATAGTGCCTTATGTTTTCGGTATGATCGACTTTGGTCATCAATTTAAAATTCAAAGGGGAATGATCTATAACGTTATCAATATGTTCGATTATAGTCTCTAAAATTATCGATCAGTTCGATTTTAGTCTCTCGATCATTAATTCTTGTTCGATTTTAATCTCTCGACCTTGTTAGGACTTAAACAAAAGGGGTTAACGAAAATTAATGGTTGAGAACTAAAATCAAACGAATTAATAACGTTAGAGATCATTTTTCCCTTAATTTTTAAATTAGTGATCATAGTAGATCAGACCCTAAACGTAGAGAACTGTCTACATAATTTATCCTATATATTTTCAAACCAACAAAGCATCCCTGTGTCTTGGTCCAGACCGTTTACTTCGAAAATGATAAATGAAGTATTCGAGACAAAACTCAGTCGAGACTCGAGATGGAGAGAGTCAGACTCAGACAGCAACTCGAACACTCGTTTGTCAGTAATTGTTGGAAGCATCGATAATTGTATTTTTAATAATTAAACAAATATTTTAGAGGTTGTATGTATGTATTAACCAAGGCAAACCTTTAACAGCACGGACCTTCATTTTCTTTTCTTTCTTTTTTAAATGATTTTATTTTTTTACTTAAGTATAAAATAAGTGTTTAAATTTTTTTTTCAAATAGGTACCCAATTTTTTAATCATCCAGACATCTAACGTTATAAATATTATCACTTTCGGTGTTCGACTATATCATTCGTTAAAATATATCGTTAAGTGACACGTGTTAATTTTAAATTTTTATTTAAAATTAAAAAGATAAATGATATTTTAAAGAAACAAAAAAAAATCTAAAATAGCCACAAAACTTTATAGTCCTCATTTCAACTCATAAATTCACACCAACTATCACCTTTTACTGCCGACGAAGTTCCATCTAACCTTACCTCCCTGACGATTAATAATCTTATGAAATCACGACCAATCAACGGTCAATCGTCGTTTTGTATCCCGCGAACCCTAGGCTGAAAATCGTGACTCCACATAATCTCGACAGTCAACCGGCGACAACAATGACGGTGTATGACTAGGAAGATGGTGAGGACTACGTCGGTGGCTGTTGTCATGGCCGGTAAGGGTGATGGCAGTGGATTAGGGATTTAAAAAATCTTAGGGATTTAGGTTTTTTTTGTAGTTTAAGATAAATTATGATTTTATATAAATATAATAATATTTTTAATTTTTTACAAAAAAATTACGACAGTTACAACCTGGATACCAAAAGTGATAACGTTTGTAATATTAGATACATGGATTATTAAAAAAATTGAATACTTATTTAGAAAAACTATATAATTTAGATACTTATTTTATAATTAAACCATTATTTCTTTCTCATAGAGATAAAAGAGAAGGTTGGTTGGTACTTGTTTTGTTAAAGCTTGTGCTGTGTTGGAAGAATTCCAACTAAACTCTCACTGTCTCCTAACCAGTTGTTGGAAAAGCTCTTAAATTTTCAAAATCAGTCCTCCCCCTCGAGAAAACATAAATAAGGTAGTCAAGTCCGGTTCCAAATAGGGATCGATATGGGTCAGGTTGGGTCGGGTTTTTAGTACACTCAACCCGACCCGAGAATAATAAATCATCCACGAGATCCAATCCAAACCGACCATAACAAATTTCCACCTATCCGAACCTGATTCGATATATAACTTAAAAATCCGATCCGACCTGAAATAATAAAAAAAAATATTATTTTTATTCAATAAAAATAATGACTTAATTGAAAAAATATATATATAGAAGAGTATTATTGTAACTATTCTTAAATATATAAGTAAAATTATATACTTTTTTTCGAATCAAATATTTTTCACCTAAATCAAACCGAAAATCATATTGAAAAAATCCGACCCGACTTAATCACGAAACTTTTTAAAAAAACTCGAGAAGGGCTCAGCTTTTGTTTTCAAAACCAATATAAAAAAAACAAACTTTGGGTGTTTGCATGGAGAGGCTAACCACAACGAGAAGGGCTAAATGGAAATACCCACCGGCATCGCCACAACCAGCCCCAAAGATCCTTCATCTGCCACCACACAGGCCTACAAGGAAAGCGCCAAAGCCAAAGGCGAGCCCTTCAAAGCTACCACCTTTACACAACGATTCAAAAGGGAAGACGCTGGTTAATTTGTTTGATCAAGAAAGGTCTTTCAC